AGGAAATTCATGTTCATTAAACTTGACACTAGGTGAGATGACTATTTTTCCATCAGATTTCAAACATTTATAGCCTTTATGAACAAGGTTGTATTCCACAAAAACACATTTGGCTGAATGAAAGTAGAAATTTAACTTAGTTTAAAATTTTAAACTAGGGAATTGAAGTTTAGATTGATAATCTGTGAGATACTTGCTTTTCTACTCCATCAATTTGATTTTGGTTTGGTGTTGCGGTACGTTCTGTGAACTTTGAGGAGTAGTCTTTCTTTTCTGTTGCTATTTCATAAGCTTTTGTCACATGTTGTATACCCCGGAATAATTATAATTTATTTGTAATTATTTAGTTTTTTGCTTGACTTATTGATTATGCATTAAATTGATGGTAGGAAAAAATGATACATTCGTGCAACAATGCTTGAAGAAGCAGCTTATCTTACTTGAAGGAGCAGAATCAGAGTTACATTTTCAAATGTTGGAGATGCTGAAACAGAAAACAATTATTTTGTTGACGTTGAATGTATAATATTAAACGAAATGCTTGAATGTATAATATTAAACGAAACAGAAGACAAAATGTAAGAAACCAAATTGGGTATATACATTTCCCCACTAAAAACAAAATGTTTTTGCCACTAATCTTTCTCACAAAAGAACATATTTTACAACTAATTTTTTAGTAGCGAAAAGTAATTTATCATATTTGAATTCCACATTCAGCATCTAAAATTATTGGAATTAACTCCTAAATTTTTATCACTAAAAGATACATTTGTCTACTAATCAGATAGTCGCAAAAAAGTTTTACGAAAATACCCTTACACTTTCAACGTCTAATTTTTGTGGCATTTATGACAAATTATTAGTCACTAAAATGTACATTTTTTGTGGCATTTGCGACAAATTGTTAGTCACTAAAAGGTACATTTTATAACTAATTGATTAGTCGCGATACAATTTTATCAAATTATCTTTACACATTTAGCATCTAAACGGGAGACTATTGCAACCAACAATTAGTGACTAATTTTATAGTCGTAAAAAAAAAACTTTTCGCATCTAACCAATTTTTTAGACGCCCATACTTTCTACGACAATGATTTTGCAACTACGTGGCGACTACGAAATTTAGACGCGCAAGACATTTAACGTCTAAATCTTACTATCGGCGTCTAATTTTGCTAGACGCGGAAAGCTATTTTTCTTAGTGTCGATGTTTGGCCTGCTAATAAAATCAATTATCTACAACAAAAATAATTTCCTTGTTATCATAACAGATTGGTAAAGTCACTTGGAGATTGGTTGATTAAAAAAAAAAAAAAAAAAAAAAAGATATTATGGAGAAGAACCATCGAATTAGTAAAGACATGCATTTAATTTGAGAAGCAAAAGGTAGGTACAACAGTGGGTTCAAAAACAAAAATTATACCTATTCAAAATGACAGGTAGGAATTCGAATATTCACGGCAGGAAAAATGGAAAGCCTGATGTTCTTTTTCTTCAAACAAGAGTGTTGGAAAACAGTTGCAACAAACAAAAACTTTGTTAATTACAATGGGCTGGTACAAAGAATGAGACAGGGAACAAAATGCAGATAGTTGTATGATTTATGAAGAGCTGAACAGGTTTGTCGTATATGCTACCAAAAAAGAAATAAAGATTCAATACTGATTGCCCAATTTTATATAAATAATGAATATAAAGAAATTTAAGATAACCCTTTAATAAAATGCGTGAATATATAAAGACAGGGAACATGGCCGGAGCTTTCAAAGTCGCAGCCTGCCCTGCCACCTCCCTCGGCCTGAGTCGTGCCTTCGTTCTCCTCAACTGCTACACCACCCACATCCACCAAGTCACACTGGCCACCACCCAGCCACCAACAAGCGACAGTTCCATCTAAATTAAAGAAAAGTATAAAAAGGCCGGTTGCAGCCTTTTCTCTTCTTTGTTTGTGCTTTTAAAAGATGAGAGAATTGTTTGACTTTTATCTACGTTGTGGAGGTATTTCTTACAACTTTTTAAATTCTTGTGTATAGAGAAAGTTCCATTACTCACACTATACGCCAACAACTTCTCACCAATGTTTTAAAACTCGGCTTGGCCTGACCGGTTTAACCGGTTCGACCGAGAACCGGCCATTGAGCCAGGCCGAGTAAGGATAAAACCCGATATATGCATTTGACCTGGTATGGCCCGCGGCTGGACAAGTGATACCGTAGCTAACCCCCAAAACCGGGTCAATGCATTGCAATAATTCCCAAACCCATTTCACTTTCATTTCTCATAGATGTAGTCGATCTTCAACTCTTTGGCATCCTTAGCTCTTCAATCTTCACTGCAACTTTCGATCGGCTCTTCAATCGTCACTACAATTTTCAATCAACTCTTCAATCTTCCCTCTTCGCGAATCGCGTTTCATTTCATCATTAGTTCTTCACTTCATCTTCATCAATTCATCTTCATCTCACTTGTAAGTTCATCTTAATAATAATAATATTGTCAGTCCAGCAGCTAATTCATCTTCAATCTTCATTCTTCAATCAATGATTCAGAAGCAAAAACGAGTTGCAAAAAATAATGGGTATTGAAGCAAATGAGAAAAACACCAAAAGGGTCAAAGCTACAGACTTTAAACAATCAAACTTACTAAAAGTGTTGACTTTCAGAGTTTGCTTTGAGGGTTTCTTGTTTCTTTATTGGGGGTTTTCTCTTGGTGTTTTTGAGGTTGTTGAGTTGACAAGCTGATGAGTCAGCTCACCGAGTTCGAAACCTTTGAATAGATTGATGATACAGATATAGGGAATGGTGAGGGGAGTTTGGGTGATATTGATGTAAATAAACGGCCAAGATTGTTTCTTGCCATAGTTTATGAGCTTTAGATCTTGTTGAAGAAGAATAACACCAACAACAATAAACCGGTAATTTGCTTTACCTTAAATTGAAATGGAACTTTGCTGTGTATAATCTAGAGAGAAAAAAGCGGTAGAGTGAGAAAGAGAAAATAAGGGAGAGAGAGGAGGAATGGGTCGTGTAATGTGTTGCAGACGTCAAAATTATATTCAATCTAATTTAATTAGTGTGATGATGGCACCGATCCGAGGTTGAGTATTAAAATATTGCTTCTCACAATAGAAACACTTTGTCTGGTCTATTTTGTTGGTTCTCTCGTTATAAATCTTCTCAAAATGGTCCCACACTCCGGATTGCTTACCCCGTCAAATTTATATTTCAGCCTCGAATAGAGAGCAAACTTGATCCAGTTTGTTAAGGTTTTTGAAGAGAGGAGACCGATGAGTTTTTTAATAATAAAATGTTAGATTTTGATGGTTGAGATTGATAAGAATTTGACTTGGGAGGGGCAATTACGCAAACCTTAATTATTCGATTGCCAATGATTGACGAGGTTGATAGGAGCAGGGTTTGAGGAGTTATAGTGAGTAATGATCAGAGAAGAGAATAGTAAAGGTATGAGGTTGCAACGATTTTAGAATCGAAAAAGAAATATAAATTTGAATAATAAAATGATATTTTAAAATTTTATAAGTGATAAAGTGTCATTAAATTATTATTTGGGTAGAAAAAAGTCTATATATATTTGGAGAATAAGATAACATGTATGCAGCTGAGAATATTGATGACAAAGCAATAAACAAGTCAAAATTAACACATACTTCCCCTGTTTTTTTATAGTCGTCTTTTTTTCAAGATAAATTAAGTTGTCTTTTCTCTTTCAATGTTTCAATCTTTTCTTTTCACTTTTTTCTATGCCCAGATCTCCTCTCTCTCTTTCCCTATCTCCTCTCTATTAAATTATTTCAATATTTAACAATGTGTGCAGCGAGAAAAGTCAATTTAAGAAGAGATAAAATTTATTAGTTAAAAAGTGTGCATAATGTCACGACCAGCTTGCTTGCCCAAGCATGCTGCACGTGACTTACTGATTAAGTATACTTCAGGGTGAAGCAAACTTAAGAGCTAAGTTAACTTAGGGGCTAAGTTAACGACTCAGCAGCTAGGTTCGGTGACTAAGCACCTTCATTTCCAAGATTGCATGCATGTGCGCCACCCACGAGCTTCGTTTCCAAGGTTGCATGCATGTGCGCCACCCACGAGCTTCGTTTCCAAGGTTGCTCGCATGTGCGCCACCCACGAGCTTCGTTTCCAAGGCTGCCCCAATGCTCGACACCCATGTAGCTTACTAATACATTTACTTTGAGGAGCTTGAGCCTATAAATAGGCAACTCCACCATGTAAAGTTCATATCTTGAATCCGATCAATATACAGAGTTTAGATTTTCTCTATATACTTCTCTCTCGTTTATAAGCTTTTAGCCTGTGAGTTTGTGTGAGTGTTAGGCTGCTTAACTCATTTCCGACGAGTTAAGGCCGCACGAACTTAGCAAAGAAGTTAAGTGCGTGACAATAAGCTTAAAATGACAGTTATATAAAAACGAGAGAGTAATAATATAGAGGGTAGCTTTCACTCCGCTTTATTAACGCAAAAGACGCGCATTCCTAATGACAGACCAATAAGAAGTGTACGTTCATTTATATATAGGATAGGTACTTGGTTGGCCTGCTGAAAGTTGAGGGATAATGACATTGGGACACGTGGTTAGTAGTGCTGGTCTCGGAAGTTGGAAGGAAGGTTTGAGATCCAGATTGGCTACTAACGATTGTGACAATTATCTGTTTTTATGAACTCCCGGTGCTGTTAATATCATACCGTGTATTGAAAATATAATTTTTTGAATTGGGTATAGTATATTGTATTGTATTGTATTATAGGATATAAATTTAAAAGAAAATATTACATAAAATAATATACGTACATATTTTTACCCATAAAGATTTAGATGAATAATCAAACGTGTTATTTGATCGAGCCCTCTTATTAGACACTCGCAAACTCAAAGCAAGATTCCATGAGCATCCCCTTTGAGACACCAATGCAAACCTCCTGAACAAATATGAAAATTTACAAGCACAACCAGGTTGAATCTCTCTTCTGTCTGGTTACTAGTCAGAATTATGGATCTTTTGGGAGTCCCTTCCCAACTATCCCTCATACTCAAAGGCTTCCAGGACCGATATTTTATGCCAACCATGGCCAAATATAATTTAGGAGATCAGAAGTAAACACTCATTAACAAAATCAGCTGTTTCCCTCTTGTATAAGTATCCAAACTCTAATATTGCAACGATTCAAAACATAAAGTATTCATGCTCAATTAACCTAACAACATTTAATACATACAGCATGTGAATCAATCTTCATTAGACTGCTTTTGATCAGTCCCTGTATAGAGCGGGCACAGCTTTCAATTTGCTCAAATTCATATGATGTGCATGCATCATCTTGTACATCATCCTCCCTGTAACTGCTTTGAATTTTACTCAAAAGATGTGCAAGTCGGTATTGCCACCGGCATCACCAAAGGAGTTCTTAACATGCTGTACAGATATATCATCCACATCTCCCTCATCTCCCTCGTCTTCCTCTGCCGCGCCAGCTTCATGTTCACTTATTTGCCACTCATCATTATCACTGTCAACATTGTGCGGGTGAAACCTATTTTGATTGGCATGTTTCTGTAGTATAAAGACATTGTAATAATAGTTGACAAGATCCCTCCTTGTTCAGGAGGGAAAAACCAATGAGAGATGGTCCCAGAAATTCTTCCCCATCGATGCAGGGTTAGAACAGACAACTTCAAGGAAAGCTTGCTCTTTCTCTTCAGCCCACTCTTGGAGACCTCCTCTCCCATTTCACAGAAACCTAATTCCTCAAATATCATTCCCCCAAGGTTTTCCAAAAGATTTACTCTGGCTTCCATAACATGTCTGACACAATCAATAGAACCCCTATCAATGCATTTAAAATCATTTCTGGTTCCACATCTTTCAGAGCAATAATTGGCGGACGTTTCATAATCAGGCATTAAAATGACACAAGTACCCCTCAGCTTCTCCTCATCACCATCGTCAACAACAAGGCTAAAATCTGACGAAGGTGCAAGTTCAACTTGATGGCCTGACACATCCAGATTATCCACAAAGCTCTTAGAACCCCTTGAATTCCATTCAGGAACATCAGCTTGATGCTCAGGTCCAATAGAAACTGGAATCAGAGGAGGAGCTTCAAGAAGAGATGAATAAGTCGCATTGGATTGAAGCGAAGCCCTTTGCTGGTGTTGAGGTGCAAAATATTCTAGAAAAAATGACAGATGGGATGCCGCCTCAAACTTTGCATCTGCTTCAGCAATATTGCTGTTTCCCCACGGAAATTGAGAAATGCAGCCGGAAGTACCTATTTCAAATTCCTCATCAGTTCCATTTGAAACTTCTGTAATCTAGTCAAATGCACATGTCTTTTGATCTTGACATTTGCAGAAGCTGTAGCTAGCTGCATCTTCTTCATATTGGAATTTAGTCAATAAAAAAAAAAAAAATAAAAAAAAAATAAAAAAAAACTGAAGAGTATACATTCACCACTGTTGCATGAGACAAGAAGATCAATTTAATTGTAACCAAAATTCGACATACATGTAATTACAAATTATTACCTGAAGTTAAGAGGTTCCAGACCAGCATCATTGGAAGGATTGAAATCCATGATAGGAGCAAGGTGATTGGTGTAGTCACATAGTTTTGGGTGCTTACAAGGAAACTCGAATGGTCCTCATCAGCAAAGTGTCTTTTGTGAATCATTTTTCCCCGAAAAGTCAACTTCTTTTTTGGAGATTTAAAAATGCAAACCCAAAGACATGTATAGCCTTAGCAAATGCTCAAAGCTGGATCTTAAATTTGGACTTAAAAATAGCTTGAACAAAAAAAAAAAAAAACAAAAAAAAAAAAAAAAAAAAAAAAAAAAAAAAAAAAAAAAAAAAAAACGGGGGCCACTACTAGATCACAGGGATATAAATTTAATATAAAGCCACAGCAATAAACCTGTATTTTCCAAATAGTGCAGGAACAAGCTTTTGATCTAAAACTGTATGAAGTGATCAGACAAAACAAAGAGCCTCAAATTCTATCCACCAGGGTATAGCTAGCACAATTAACAGGATAAATCTAGTTTCTGTTAAGAATATCGAAACATGTAATCCTCTGTTCAGTATAATGTCAAGGTCATGATTTTCACATATGAACTAGAAGAGCACTTGACAAAAAGGTACCAACAAACCTATCTGAACTTGAAAGTAGGCATCTAACTTTAACTATGACTAATATTATATAGAGTCGTCGTCCTTATTATAGAGGGCAACAACTACAAAACACGAGGCAGTCAAAAATGGGAAACCAAAGCAAAAAGTTATAGGAAAACTCTTTTCTCCCAACAACAGAAGCATCCTACAACTATTTCTAATCTCACTCCACGGCTAGGTAGGCAAGGCCAAAGGTGGTGTCACACTAATGCCATAGCATGTTCCCAATTCCTAGAAAATTATAGCAATATCTCTTTTTCTCTTTTAACTAACATCTATTTCAAATGCGACAGAGCATAATGCAATGGCGAAAAGAACCATTAAGCACTCAGGTCATAACATTAAAAATTTCACTTCCAACTTTTAAAATAACAATACAGTATACGTAAAAAGTTCTTCAGTGCATCTACAAAGCCACAATGCACTATCCATAGAACAATATAAAGGTCCTAACCGTCTAATGAAAATAAATTATGAAACTACATAGATATTAAAGCATCCACATACATAAATTCCAAGATTCCGATAAGTATTACAACGAGAAACAACATTCCAAATATCATCATATAAATAAATTCACTAACTAATAAAAATTTAAAAGTCACACAAGGGCTAAAGGAGGTAGTTCTCACCTAAATCTTCCTCTGAAGAACTCAATTAATAACACCTGCGGACGAATTAAAATTCAAATAAACCCAATAGAAACAACCCCAATTTACAAAACCAGAAATCTAGCTCCCTTGTTATTGAACAATTATATAGAAAATTAACGAAGATAAAATACAGAAACTCCAAATAAATATTTTCGCCAAAATTTCACAATATAAATCAATCGAAAATTCGAAGCTTCGAAAGCCCCGATAAAGTTTCAAACTTTTCAAAGAATCCAAGAAATGAAGGCTGACCCAGATAAATATGGACAAATAAAAGCTAGAATATACCCTAAGACTCACAGATCAAACAAAATCGAAAAAGAATCGAATGGTTTAAGAGAATTTCGAAACCCTAACACTAGAAACGAAACCGGGATCAATCGATAGAGGTTAAATCGAATTGAACGAAAAAGAAATCGAATCGAAGAACAAAAAAAATAAATCTGAAGAATTTTAGAGCGAAATCGGGGAGATTGTGATATACAAATTACATGATGTGCCACTTTATGATTCCTGGGCTCGGAAAATGATTCCGTCCGGTAAATTTCGATATTTCAAGCTGTCGCCACGTGGAAAACATGTACACGTGAATTAAAAAGGTCAGAGGATTCAGAAACTTTATTTAAATTATACTTTGCAACACTGTATTACTATTACACGTTTTATGATATTATTTTACAAATTTTACGTTAATATATTGATTGAAAGATATACTGTATTATAAGTTTATAAAAATAATTATTAAAATCTCACATACTACGTTAATACATTGATAGGAAGATATTTTACAAACTTATTCGATGAAAATAAGTGGACCTCACACACTTGACACTACTGCACCTCACGTACTGTGCTGCAGAGCCCGCAACACAACTAAATTATTTATTTTACTGAAAGACCAAACATAATATATAACCATGTATTCAACAAATAAAACTGCCAAATTAAAAAAACTTATAAAAGGGTGTAAGGACTTTAATCTTATAATTGAGTTGTCCATCTTCATTCCTTTCCTTGAAAAATTGAATAATCTGTCCTTGTTTAATGCCTTTTGTCTTGCAGAATCGTTTCCAATAGCCACCAATATATGGTTTTAAATAGGGGCCTGTGGCTCGGACGACTAGACGGAGTTGAAACACAGTGTTGGACTCCTCCTCTAGAAATTGTAACAACTGAAAATTTTGACCGTGTGGGAAAGGCGGGAACTCCTGAAGATAGTGGGTTGCAATGACTAACCTGTCATTAACATCAGAATAGGAAAGATGCTTCTCGTAGAACAACTGATCAGCCATTATCTTCTTAACTTGAAAACAAAATCAAAAAGATCTTACAGAGTGAATGTGAGTGAGAGAAAGGGGAGAAATTTGAGGATGAGAAATTTGAGAATGGGGTTATAAATACTAGCGAGGAAGGGGGTTAGGTAGATAAAAACAAAATATAAAATCGTCTCAGAATGGAACTCTGCTACGTTAAAGTGTGTAAAAACTAAAGACAGAGTTGGTAATATTAACTCATGGTAAGATAATTGACTTTATTAGCAGGCCAAACATCCATCCGCAGAAGCACAACACCAAAAAGTAACTCTTGGTCTTCCGGCGTTTGTGCCTTAAAACCGCTTATCAAACATGAACATGAAAATATCTCGCCCGTCGTATTAAAAAATGCATCGATCGTTGTTATTTTTTTCCTATAAACGTACAGTAAAAAGAAAGAAGATACCTAATGATGGCATGAACCAACTAATTATCCAAAGCGTGTACACTAAAAAGAACGATTGACGATCAACGTTTACTGGACCAAACACTAGCTGAAGAACTTAATGGCAGGTCATATGACATAAATAGTTACGTTATCTCCATGTAATCTTCAGACAGAAAATAAAACCATCCGATTAACTATAGTTATTATTTGTTAATTAACAGGCTTCCATATTCTTTGAGACCAATTTTTGTGATATGTAATATTATGTATGGTCCACGTGTGATGATATAGAGACCAACTTACACACCTTAAGTAAGAATTCCATTCTCAGACTATTGTGTAATTTTTTTTTATCTATTGACATAAAGACAATCAAAAGTCAATATTGTATAATTTTTTTTTTATCTATTGACATAAAGACAATCAAATGTCAATATTGTATATTTTGTTTTTATGTTACTAAAGTCCCGCTTATAAATGGTCCCTGGAAATCTTTCTCTTTTCAGCCGACCTTCTCTTTTCATCCGTACATGCATGCTCTTTCATCCGTAAAAGAAAATAAGATACCGGATGATGGCATGAACAACCAATTATCGCCATGTAATCTCCATGTAATCTTCAGACAATCAAAAGTCAATATTGTATAATTTTTTTTTATCTATTGACATAAAAGCAATCAACAGTCACTTATAGGGCCCACCCTACCTAACTCCCTAAATAGTTACTCAACCGTTTCAGTATTTATACTCCCAAATCATTCTCAGATTTCTCATCCTTAAGATCTAAAAGCATTTTCATAATACTATTCCGATTTAGGTAAAGTGAAATAACATAAAATAAACATAAAGTTAAATATATGAAAACAGATTGAAATATCATATTTATTAGCTTAGATATTATAATGTATATACAAATTAGAATGTGTTGTATCTTTAGCGTAGTGGAAATGCTATTAACAAAAAATAATAAAAAATAATTACGACGTTTTTTTTTAATAGGACGTATGTGATATCCACATTCATGTTTGATAAGAGTTACTTTTTGGTGTTGTGTGGATGGATGTTTGGCATCTGCTAATAAAATGACATGATTTTCTTCCATTGTAATAACATGATTTTCTTCTTTCACCTTCACCGCCATTCTCAACAACTTTTTTGGATGACTTTTTCTGTCTCCATTATTTAGTTATTCAATGAAAACATCATTATTTAGTACAAAACCTCTTTACCAAGTTTGGTCAGCTTCGGAGAGTTGTAAAATTCTACCATCAAGGATGCAATTGTAAAATCGTTTAATATCATTAATCATTTAAATGAGACATATCAAAAACTCATCAGAAATGACTTGATACTCCAACCAAAAAAAAAAAAAAAAAAAAACCCTCACTCAGACAGCATTTAACATTGGGCTGTGAGTCTCTGACAATGACTGAATGGAATATGTTTCACGTCAAGATTACATTAAGATCAAGATTACAAGATTACATATTAAACAGTAAATTGATGAGCAGTTAGTAATAAAATAAACTATATAATTGTATTTGTCCATTTAATAAAAGGTTTCATTATGCATGAATGGATTGGAAATATCACACAATTTAGTTTGTATGGTAAAACCAATCCATAATTTATATCCCAACTTGAATCTGAAATTTCAAAACCCCTATACGAAATCCATATCCTTTTGTAATATATCGCCACTCTCTCTTTCTCTCTCTCAGTAGCTTTTTCTTTTTAATTCCATTAACTACAAGTCACAAGTTGTATTATTCATATAAAAAAAGAGAAAGATATTTTGTTGTTGCCATTCAGTTGAAAGTAGCGCCAATTAAGAGGCCTTCGAAGCACGGATGTGGCGCATCTGCACGACACGTACATCTTTAACTTAGCTTAGCTGTATCCATTACATTCACAGCCACAAGCTAATTCCTCTTACCAAATTCACGCAAATTAATCTGATTTTTTCATTGGGCGCATCAGTTTTATCCCAGCCTTAATTTACCAGGCTTTAAAGCATAAACATTCTTCAGGTTTAATTTGAGTATTAGTTAAAGCCAATAGAAACAAGTCAAACATTACAATATAGAGACATTTTTCACCCAAAAGTAACTTGTCATTAGCTTAATCAGTCAGATAAAGGGGTAAAGTTGGAAATGCATTGAAACTTAGTCATATATTAAAAATAAAAATCTCTATTTTTGTCTCATAGGATCGCAAAATTAGTCTTGTAAGCTAAATTAAGGATACAGTAAATAAATAATTTATCTAATAAAGTAGATCTATCTTAATATTTTTATTTTATTTCTTAATTTTATAATTTGCATCGTTATATTAGTATTTTTAATTATTATATGTCATTAAAAATATTTTAAAATTAAGATTTTCTTTTCTCTGATTAAAGTACTTATTATTTTAATTTTGTTGGATAAAATATATTTTTTGTGAAATTATTTTTTGGTTTTTTATATTTATTACATCTAATTATTGTTTTGTTTATTTTATTTATCATCGGATAAAACAAAAGTTCTTTTTTATCAAATTTGGTGTGTTAGATAATTAGATTAAGTTGACGGCGATTATCTTTTAAAGTTCCACCGATGATAATTAGTCAAGAAATGCAATTATAAATTTAGAACTCTAGCTTTAGCTTTTCTTTTTTGCTTGCTTTTCTTCATCACCGACAGTGGGATTTTTTGTTAGCTTTCCAACAATCAATATGTGATTGGCTTTCCTTCCAGATGTCTAGTCTAAGGCTAAGCATTCGGTTTACAAAGTGCACTTTAGCCTTTGTTGTTAACGGAAACAATCAAGTATACCTGCTAAAATCATCTATGAACTGAACGTAGTACCTAAATCCCTCTAAGGAGCTTAAAGGTGCGGGCCCCTAAACATCACTATGCACAAGAGCAAATGGTTCAGTAGCCTTTGAGTGAGAGGCTGGAAAATGATTTTTATGCATTTTTCCAAGTAAGCAATCATCACAGAAAGCTACAGCAGACATTGATTTAGTTTTAGACAAAGAAGAACAAGGAATATGATGCATGATTTTGGAAAATGCCTCAGCATGAGAGTGGCCTAATCTTTGATGCCGTATCATAGATGTAGGATCTTTAATAGAATCAGCGTGACATGTGAAGGCAGAAGTATGAACTGAAGGTTTTAAAATGTCAATTGGAGACTTAGCAATGCTAGCATCAGAACACAAAGAATTCCTTACTTCAGCAACAATACATAAAGAATCAGTTACAGTAGTAGCTAACACATTGCTCAAAGTATTATCATTCTTAGGTGAACACAAAGAATTCACAAGTAAGTAACATTCCGTAGCAAACACAACATGTGCATTATCATTCATATCATCAGCATGCATTGGATTAAGCAGTGAACAAAAAGTACTTTTATTAATTGGCTGCTGTGTACAATTGACATTATTAGGAGTAATGTGACTGTCAGTACAACTTGCAGATGTTATATCAGAATTAGACAAAAACGAAAGTGGTGAACTAACATCAACAGGTATTGAATTATGAGAATGCTCAGTACTTGATGAAACACAACCAGATTGAGTAAGAGTACTTGGAAACTTATTAGACTCTATTAATGACACAAAGGACCGAGAACCAGGTAAAGCAGATTGTGCAGGAATTTTAGTTGAAACTGAATTTGATGAAGGTTGAGAACTAAGGGCAGAATGGAGGTTCAATTGATACAACCCGGCTTTAAGTTCTCCCTGCAGCAACACTGTACTAGTGATTTTGTCTTTAACCACACAGCAATCAGATGAGAACTCAACTATAACATTGTTATCTT